AAGTACTGAACACTATAATATGTAAACACTCCTAAATCCGGTTTAGAACTACATTAAGAGGATGCCACATGGGCATTTGTTGTCCCCGTCTTACAAACGTACAACATGGCAAATTTTTATGTTCACAATAATACATTTTGGTCTATAATTTTTAAAATTAGAGTGAATTTATCTCTTATAAAATTTAAAGATAAGAATATTATCTAAGGCGTAATTATTTTTAAGTAAGTTATGATCATTATAAAATGTACAAAAACTGTACAGTTTAAAAATAGTCATAACTTGCTTCTTAATAAAAGTATCAATAAAAGGCTCCGTATGCTCTAGATAATAATATTCCTTTAAATGAGTTAAATTCACTCTAGTTTTAAAAATTACAGTGTAAAATGTATTATTGTGATATTTGTGAATGTAAAATTTGCTATGTTGTACGTTTGTAAGACAAAGACAACAAATACCCGCGTGACGTCCATTTTAAATTAACTCGAACACATCTATCAATAAATATAGATATTATAATTTAAAGGACAGTTGGTAACCTATATAGATTAAAGAAATTAGCTGTACAATTTAAAAATCATACTACTGAAATATGTAAGTACCTACCTATATTTTTTTAATATTATTTATAATTTCAAACAATAAGTACCTAATAGAATAAGTAAATTTGATCAGAGAAGAAAAAAAATAACATAAGATTCACATGATTAGAGAAAAGATTGATTGATATTACTCAACAAAATAGATAAATACATACGTAATAAATAATAACACTATAGCAAGTTATCTAAATATCTGAGTTATAGTAGTCTAGGTATTATTACATATTGTGTTTTTTTTTTATATATATAATATGAATAATAATATTATATATATATATAATATAATATAAAAAATAAGTAGGTTAAAATGTCTCTAGTCCATTTTCTTTTCAGTCATCGGGTTGTATCGTTTAGGTCTACATAGGGTTTTAATTATGACATAATTTATTATTATGGAATTTATTTATTTTTTTTTTTAAATTTACTATGGAATTGTTGGTAGAGTTAAGATGCTTAATCAGGGATAAATTTAAATAAATTAAACCTCAAGTAAACCTAACAATACAAGTTACTTTTGTTAATATTATATAATTGTCTGTATTTTTAAACATAGTATCAAGTTAATGATATACCCATGCATTATAGTAGTACAAACTCAAAAAATTACCAAGATACTAAAAAGCTATAAATGCTTTCAGAATAAGTACACTGGTTATAAGCACCATAGTAAATACACTAAATTCCTTAATTGAAATTAAATAAGTTAAACTTCATCCATTAAAATATATTATATAATCACAACATGTATGATATAGAAACCAGATATAGATAAGCCGGTAAAGAGTACAGAGATATTTTTATTTAACATGAAACTTGAAAGTAATATTAATTTGTTTAATTTTCTATGTGAAATTTTCATATTCACTATAATTTGCAACTAAGGTCCTGTGAGAAATAAAAATAATATGACCTCTCTGAAATATTGTCAGTATTCAATTTCCAATCTATAAAAGTATAGATATTGAAATCTATACACAGGAACAAGGAGCAGAAAAAATACAATTTTGTTATGATATTTTTGTATGTTTGAATAAGAAAATTGTATATGTTATCTCTAATTACAAAAAAAGATTCTTCATAATATGATGTCAATACCTTTTTAGATAGATATTTCGGAAATTTAATCAAAAGTTAATTACAATCCATAAACCAATCTTTGATAATTAAGTACAAACAAAAATAATATTCCATTTTTATAGGTAGGTACCCAATTGGAATTAGATATCTTTAAGATACCTTGGAAATTATTATTTCACAGAATAAATTCTGTGCTTAGGTATATTAAATGTTTTAATAACTAAAGCATGACTTAGTTTATTTAGTCATGAACTAAGGGTAATTTAAATTTTATCATATAGGTATGTTAGGTACTTAGGAATTTGTTAATTATTAAAATTAATAAATATTGTAATATTGTGCTCAGTAAAACACTAAAACAACATTATTTAATATTTTATTGTTGAGGAACATATAATTTTAATTAGGTATGTACTCGGGTATGTATTATATTATGTTACATTAGATATTAAATAGGTTATATGTTTTCCTAAGTTTTCCCAAATCTAACCTTATAATATGAATAATCAAATTGTTTCAAATTCTATTTAATTATCCCTATCAAATAACAAATTTAAATTAGCATTGTAATTTATATAACATAATAGTACCTATTAATAAATAAAGTGATTTCACCTATTAAGTTAAGAACATTACGGAACATTACAAGTGTCCCTACGTTGGCTTTTTTATCATGTTTTAATTTTTATGTTAATTGTTAGCGTGTAAATAATTACAATTTAAAAATGATTATAAATTGTATAAACATTAAAATATTATAAAAAAAAGCCATCATGGGGACATAGGTATACTACATTAGCTTATACAATTTAAAAGTAGGTGAATTCACTCTAATATTAAAAGTAAAACCACGTGGTTGGTTCTGCTAAACATAAATTTGCTATGTTTCGAGTGAATCAGAAAAAGAAAACAGATAGTGCGCTAACATCCTCTTAACCTATAAATTATAATAGTAAAATGGTAATGTGATTTAAAATACAAATATTAAAATTTTCAAATACTCATAACTTTCTTTAAAATTAAAATGCATAACAGATCCATTTACTCTAATAACAAAAAATTGGATCGGCTGAACTCAAATTTGATACGTTGCTTGTGGGGGTTGTGGGTCGGAGTGTCAAGAAGGAAAACAAATAGCGCGCTGATGCCCTCTTAAATTGTTAAACCCTGACATAAGACCATTGCATTTTATAATATTGTTATAACTTATAATTATTATTTATAAGGGGGTGCCTATTATTTTCATACTTTGATAACCTACCTATGTGAATCCATGTTGTAGGTACCTAGTTATTCATAAGAAAGTTATATTTACCTATTATAAAAAGTCTTTGGTTTATTTCATATAATTTCTAATATGTAGTGTGTACCTAATAATTAAATATCTATTATATATAAATAGGTTAGAAGATTTAGACAGTGTCAGAAAACCAAACATTGTGGTTATTATATATTAAAAAAGAAGGTAATTGCAAAAAAATGCTTGACATAACTTAGAACAAGTGAAAACACACAACCCCTAATACCTAAATGGCTGTTATCATAATATTATGTAGGTACCAACGATTAAAGGAAATCTATAAACGATTGATTCTAATACTCCTGGGCACAATGAAAGTGAAAAATATAACGTGATGGCAACACTAATATTATATTATATTATATGTATGATATAGGTAGCTATATAATATTATTAGAATATCAGATTACTGACTGACTGCGGCCCATACACATTCAATATTATTGATATCAATAAAAACATGTCAATAAATATCAAATGGTTACCTATGATATTTTCAATATTATTGAAGTGGCCAGTGGATACATTCAATATACCAACCCATGCACGGTCAATAATATTGTCAATATCGAATATTGATTGTATATGGGCCGCTTTAGAGACTGGAGTTCACCCTATATATTAATACTTCAATACTACCATAGGACGGTCTATTTGACCTAAACATTATATAATAGAGGTAGGTAGGTTTATTATAATAATATGATCAACTAAACAAAAACTGTTTTAGTCAATCCAGTTACCAATAATAAATAATACACACAATGTGTTGTTAACTTCCAATCGAATCACACAGAATATCTGAACAATAGGGATTTACGTCCAACCTATTTATATGTAGGTATTTATTGGATTGCTATAGAAGCGGCCAATCGAAAAGGGATACGAGGAATGAATTGCTTACCTTTGCTAAAAACCACAGTCGTAGAACATTTTTGAACCCCGGACGCGTAGTGATCCGGACACGAATTACTGATATGGTCCACTATTTTATTGTATTGTAATATATTTAAAGCAGGCGACTAAATTATCATTTACGCGTGACCGTGTTTTATAGACGATTGTATATATTTTAATGTACCAAGAATCAGAACTGTTATGATGTTACTATTTCGCCAAATATATATATAATATGTATAAAAAATATATATATATATTTATATTCGGGGTGGTTAGCGAATAACTAAAAATTAAAACAAAAACGATTGATTTTATAAATAATGTGACAGGGAGAAACAAGTGTTTACTGAAAAGTAACGTATTAATAACAAATAACAGTATGATTAAAAATATGCGCGTGTACAGCCGGCTATTGTGCAGATCGTTAAGTTTCGACTGCTTCGAGTGGAGAAACGGAATTAACAATAGTTATAATCGAAGTGAAACAGTCAACACTCTACAGTCTACACAGTCCACAGTAGTACAGTACACGAAGCGTACGGCGCGGCGGTACTGCGGCAGTGCAGCTATTACAGCTGTTTGGCAGTTTGGCTCAGTGGGGCAAAAAACAGTTGTAGCTTGCCGATCAGTGTTTCTTAAAACGTTAACCGCACGAAAAATAATACAATATAGGTGCTATGGTGCTATATAGGTCGGTAGTCAGTGTTCAACTTACCACGAGCTACGGTGAAATTTCATGTTTTGCCCCGTAATAATCGTTAATATGCGCATGAAATATTGTCATTAGACGCGTATGAAAATAGTAAATACAGCTGCGTTATCACTTATCACCCGACATCGGCCTGATAAGACGGTGGTTTGTTCTGGAGGCCGGCATTTGTTGTTGGTCACTTGGTCGCCGGCAGTGTCCGTTCCGTATCGTAAATAGTTATTAATTAGATAAATTAAATATATAATTAATGGGCTCAATAGTCAATAATCAATATTGAGTATTGGCTGAATTGTATTGTTATTACTATTATTCATAACTTACTATTATTTGTTGTAAACTGTGCCTCATTAGTTATTTATTTAACATATTGATATTTACCGTCACTGGTGCAATGACGCTATAATTATCGATGGAAAACTCAGACCAGGAGACTTTGGCTACGGTCACTTTAGCAACTCCGGCACTGTCGACATCACCAGATGTGAACGAGACCGAACGCCACCCCAAAAAAAAAAAGCTGTACAGGCAGCATTTTGTGGCCCTCTTGGAACGATGCGAAATCATACAACAGGTAAAATGTTTAGGCGGTGCCACCCCTTATGCAGTGTATACAATTCTGCTTCAATACTGCTTCTTTTGTTTGCCAATTGTTTATGTATGTTATCTTAATATTAAAGGACAACGAACGTCTAGTACACAGGATACATCAAGTGGCCAAACAGTTAAGACGGATCCGATTGGAGAGAAGGTAGGTATGTGTTTTTATTATTGTAAAGACTCAATTAAATGTAACTTGTACGTCTTCAGGTTTATTATGGATCGATTGGACACGCACAAAGACAACTGGAGAGAAGCTGAATTGAAAATAGATCTAGGAACTGATTTGCCTTTACCTGAAGCAGTCAATTTAAAAGTAATATCTGCTGTTTATAAAATATTTATAATATAATTTTTTTTATTCTTATTAAATACCTATTACTATTTATTTATAAAGAATCAGGGAACTGTAGAAACACCCAACGGGAAAAAGAATTTGAACATAAAATCCACTGAAAAAAAGGATCCTAATTTGCCAAAAAGACCGGCAAATCCATTTTTTAGGTTTTGTCAAGAACAAAGGCCAATTGTACTTGATCAAATCATTTTGTCAGGTGAAGGGGAACCAACGAAACAAGATCTTACAAAACGACTAGCAATTACTTGGAATACTATGGAACATAATGATAAAAAAGTATGTAAAAACAATTTTATGTTTTTGGAACATTTGTTATTTTAACCATATATTATCATATTTTGGATAACTCTCTGGTTAGCTGTTATTGCATTTTATAAATACCTAGAAAACATTTTATTTTAATGAAGCAATTTGGTTTCTTCAACCTTTTTGAGTAATTTTTATGTCTTGTTTAAACATGACTAAAATGTTATTTTAACATTTTGATTTCAAATTATTTTCTTTGTCGTATCAAAAATTATTATTTAATTGATTTTGGGCATCTAGGTAGCTTGCTTTAAAATACTTTCATATTCCAATGGCTAATTAAAATAGTACGATTTTATTCAGGATTCTTTTTTAAAAATCAAAATTCTCAAATGTAGACTGATGGTTATTTTGAAACAGAACATTGATCGTCCCAACTCTTAGTCAATGTATAGATTAAAAAATAGTAAATTCAGCCTAAAATACTATTACTGTTAAATTTAACAATTCCTACTCTGTCTACCATAAAATCAAAGCGGGAGTACCCCAGGGAAGTGACTTATCACTTATACTCTACAATATCTACACATCAGATATGCCCATAACAAACCATACAACTCTAGCAACATATGCAGACGATACCGCTATATTAGCATCAAATAAAGTCTAAAACATAGCCACCCACGATATACAATACCACTTAAATCAAATCTCCAATTGGACTCAAAAATGGAAAATCAAAATAAACGAAAACAAATCAGTTCAAATAAATTTTTCTTTGAAAAAATCGAATGTCTACAACTTTTTCTCAATAATTCACCAATTACTATCCAAAATGTAACCAAATACCTCGGAGTTCATCTAGATAAAAGACTTATCTGGGCCCAACACAAAACAGAAAAGAAAACAATCAACCACATGTCTACATCTCCTCCGTCCATTATTGTCTCCTTCAATGAATTTAAAAAACAAAATATTAATATACAAGACGATTATTACCCCCCTCTGGTCATATGGTATCCAAATCTGGGGCCAAGCCAAACCATCCAGTATAAGACCCATACAAGCTTTCCAGTCTATATGTCTTAGACAAATAACTGGAGCCCCATGGTACACTTAATGAATCACCTTGTATAACAAGAATTGATACCATTTAATGTTTTGTGGAAAATATATGTTGTTTAATACTTAAATATCATACGCTGAATGTGTTGCTAATCACAAATCTCGAGAACAGTTGGTCCGGTTTGGCTCAAATTTTTTTTAAATGTTCGTAATTGCCAGGTGAAGGTTTTTACAAAAGAAAATTTTAAGAAAATCCACCGGAAAAGTGGGAAACCTGGATGTAAAAATACAACAGTGGCCCAACAGTGTATTATATATTGGTTGTTATTGGTTTATCGGGCATGTTTGTTATTTTGTATTAATATGTATAAAAATGAATGTTTGTGTGTAGATTAGATCTTTGGGAAGATGTCAGGCTAATTTAAAAATGGTTGAATTTGGTTTTTTTTATTCATCGGATTTTAGTATGGTTAGGTTAGAATTTTGTATCAATAAACTGAATAAACTATGATATTATTATTACCTATATAGGTATTATTATAACGTTTATGTAGAAGTCAAAATTATGGTGATAACGATACTAAACATACCAGCCATAGTAATAAAAGTACATTGCTTTATATTATATTCATATATATTTTCTTTATATACAGGGTGATTTTTTTATCGAAGAACACTCATTATTTCAAAAAGTATTAATGTTTAAGAAAATATTTTTTTACATAGTTTCAAGTTGTTAAAAAACAATATTTTTATTAAAAAATTATATTTTTAAATATTTTTTATCCTTTTAATTTTTTAAGTTTTTTACTTTTTTGAATGACAACATCTAATTTTAATTTGATATTCAAAAACAGAATATTTTTCTGAGTATTTCGATACATAAAAATTGAATTTAGGGCAATTAGTTTATGAGTTATAAGTATTTAAAGTTTAGATGAGCGGAGTAGAGTGGTACGGGGTTACCCCGCGAAATGTTTGTCCTCTACTCCGCTCATCTAAACTTTAAATACTTATAACTCATAAACTACTTGCCCTAAATTCAATTTTTATGTATTAAAATAATCAGAAAAATATTCTGTTTTTGAATATCAAATTAAAATTAGATGTTGTCATTCAAAAAAGTAAAAAACTTAAAAAATTAAAAGGATAAAAAATATTTAAAAATATAATTTTTTAATAAAAATATTGTTTTTTAACAACTTGAAACTATGTAAAAAAATATTTTCTTAAACATTAATACTTTTTGAAATAATGAGTGTTCTTCGATAAAAAAAATCCCTCTGTATATAATTGTAATTGTACTGTACGTGTGTTGTGATTGAACTCCTCCTAAACGGTTGGACAGATTTGAATGAATTTTTTTGTATGCGTTTGGATGACGCCCCGGATTGTTTAGATTGACAAATTATCCCCCTAGGTCCAACCAGGGGATGTGCTCAAACTTAAACATTTTTGTTTGTAAATGGTTGCCATGAGTCTTAAAACTATTATAATAATAATTATTGGTTGCCGTGACATCAGTGTATTCATTCAATGCATGTAATTTTTTTTTGTAAGCTGTATTTTGATATTATATGCATCGCAATTACGTAAATATTGAGTGAATTATACTCACATATAAGTTACTTACTACTTACATAAAACAATGCCACTTCTTCGTGGACGAAGAGAAAATATTGGTTGACAAACTCGGCATTCACAATTAGTCCAGCCGTTTTAGGAGGAGTTCAGTGACATACTTGGTATAACTTTGATACTTTAAAGTTAAATTATAAAGTTACGTACAAACAGCACCAGGTCCGCTATCTACCTCAGGTAGATTGCCTACCTGATAATATAGGTACTGCTGCGAATCAGAATTTTTATTCCGGGCAACAGAAAAGTTAAGATAAATTTTGAACACCATACACCTAATATTAATTAACGAATTGAACAAAGTTTGAGTCATATAGAGTTGGTACATTAAACGGGAAACAAAGTGCACAGGATCAGTTAGTTATTTATAAATTTAAATATTTGAGTCATCCAATTGCAAAGGTCTTGTGCCTAAACAAACAATTTTTTTAGTACAAACAAAAAACTGTTATTTCTTTAATATTTCAAAAAACTTACTGATTTTTTTGCCACATAAAAAATTATGAATTTTAATTTTCTGTAGATAAATTATTTTCAATTAAAAAAAAATTTTAATTTGTACATATTTTTTTTTGAAACTAAAAAATTAATTTAACCACTTAAAATAAATGAACAAATTTTTGAACTTGAATATTATCTTCAAATAAATCCTTATCAAAATGTATTTTTAGTTTTTAAAACAACATGCTTCTATAAAATATTAAGCCATGAAGTAAGTAAAACCCATTCTCTAATAATAACTGTGGAACCAATGAATTAAGTACATATTGTAAGTTGTAACTGTTCGAACAGTTGGCCTAGGAATTTACTCAATTTTGCAGCTATGTTATTTTACCCGAGACATACTACTTTTTGGTACACAAATACCAATAGACCTACATTGATTTGCCGCTACATTCAGTTTTTGAATTAAAAATAAAATAGACTATACTATGTTGTGAAATATAAAAAATTTATAAGAAAAAAGATTGATAGACTAACAATAAAAAAATAACATAATATAGATTTTGACTGATATTGGATATAAGACCTTTTGTAATTAGATGACTCATTTGTAAACATTAAAACTCAGATTATGAACTTATGGTACCTTCAAATTATTTCAAATATTTTAGCATATTTAAAGCTGTGTTGGCTCTTCAACTTTCAAATTATATGTATTACTGTGTATAACTTTATAGTCAATACCATATGTTTTCATATTTTTTAAATTAAACAAAAGTAACTAAGTAAGACAATAAAGTAAAAATATTTGGTTATGAACGTTATGATGCAAATTTGAATATTATTTATTTTTAGGTTTATTATGATATGTACGAGAGATCTAAGGAAAAATATGCTGCAGACATGGAAGAATACGCACTTAATAAATCTATAAACACAGTACAAACATCCAATTTCTCATCTTCACAATAAAATTGTATTTAATTAAGTATTATTTAAATTGTGAATTCAAGTTTCAATATATGTTTATGTGATGTATTATTAACAACTAATTTGTATTCAAGTGTATAAAAATGTATTATTGCAATAAAATGAGTATTATTTTTCATAAATTGTTTTTTAAGTCCCTCAACATTTTCATTGTTTCAATTGGATCACCAACTGTGTGAGTGACTTTTTGGACTGATTCATTTTCTACTCTCATGAATGGATTAATGAGCTTTTCTAATCCTAAGTATAAAAACACCATGATGAAATAATTGTTTACATTTAAAAATTTTAATTTTTACCAATAGTTGATGGAACACTTGGTTCTTTTAATTTTCGTTTGGTTTCGACATCCTCCAATTTATTCAATATATATTGGTTGGATGGTTCAACATGTAGTCCAAACTTCAAATTTTGAATGGCATATTCATGTCCACAAAACACAGCCTAAAATAACATCTTAGTGTTAAAATATATTCAAAGATATTAATATTGAATTATTTTCTTACAGTGCTGTCAGGTAACTGTGATAATATTTTGATTAACGCCTCATACATTTGTGTTGCAGTACCTTCAAAAAATCTACCACAGCCTCCTAAGAATAGTGTATCTCCTAAAGAAAAAATATGATTAAATTAAGAAGTCATACTCATAGTCAACAATCACTTTAAACAATTAACTTTTATCTAACTACTTGGTCTATAATTTGATTTAAATCTTATATTTCTTAAAATAAAAATTTACTCTTATGACAACATTTATAAAAAAGATATATTGTAGTTGTTCTTATTGATAAATTCAGAAAGATTTGTAGCAATTTGTGACATAAATTAGGCAATTAGCCTAACTGAAATTTATACAATTGACTAAACCAGTGATTATAATAATAATTATACTTGGGTACTTATACAAAAAACGTAATATCAAAATTAAATTTTGCATTATACATAAAAGACAACCAAGTTGTTACAACTAATATAAAAAAAAAAAATCCATTTTATGCTACTTGGATTGGGTTTGATAGTTTCATAAATCATACATGCAATCATATAATAGAAATAACCTGTAAAAACAACATCATCTTGCCCTTCATTAACATAATAGCAAATGTGTCCAGTGGTGTGACAAGGTGTGCGCAGACATTTAATATTTAATGATCCAAATTGAAAATCTACTCTGTGTTTATCAATCATAACTGTAAGGCCATCAATTCGGTCGTCACCTCCAATAACAGTCAATTGATCATTGGTATTGCTATTAATAAGTTCTTTGTTGCCACCAGCATGATCCCTAATAACATTTCAAATTAAAATTGTACTTAGTAGGCACTCATAAATCATTGTAAATTAAACTCATTGAATCATATTATTATTGCTATAAAAATGAACAATGAACTTTGTACTTAAGTTTAAACAATATATTTTGGCAAGCAGCCGAATCAGGTCAATAAAAAATAGGTACTCATGAATACCTTAAACATTTACCTAAGTAAAAATTTTAATTTTAATTAGATACTATATTATACCTTGCCATATACAATATTTAGAAAAGTATAATAATAATAGGTCTTTATCCATTTATATTACCAATGATGATGTGTTGTGAGTACAGTTGTTAATTTAACATTTTCTTTACGGACTGCATCCCAAACCACATCCGGTGCTACAGGATCGACAATGGCTGCTTCTTTCGTGCTATTATCAATTAATAAGTACATAAAATTATCTGATAACGCTGGAAGCACTTGAACTTTAAATTTGCCAAACTCTTTAGTTATGATGTTGCTATGCATTGTGGTTAATGGCCTTTGTACTAAACAAATATAAACATTAAACATGTTTAGTTATTACCAATTTATATATTATGAAATTGCTTACATAGAAATGAAGAATTCTTAATTATTGCACTGGGCAGTGAAGATAAAATTTTAATGAACATCGGAAAAATGTTATTAACTGTAAAGAACTGAAATAGCATGCATTTCAACCAAAAAATAAAATAAAATGTTTATATTAAATATTAATATGATAATAATGATAATAAATAAGTTGTACACTTATATCCCAGGCTGTAGATAGACCATAGAGGATTACTATAGACAGACATTGTCGCACCTAGGTACCTACTAAATGTATAAAATTACAAAAATAAAAATTTTATAAACTTACAATCTTTAACAGAATTTTGTAGAGTCCAATTTAGTAACTAACAAGTAGGTATTACTCATTAACTTCTTAACTTTCTTTTAAAACATTCTATGATATTTCAAATTTTGATATTAATTATTATTTTAAAAGATAAGTGTTATCTTTGTGCTATTGATATAGGAATGGATAAAATATAAATATTTAATTATGATGGAGTGTGAAAAATACTAAATAGAAATTAATAATTTTATTATTGAAATTTGATAATAATTCGATTTTTTCGATTAAGAGGCCCCGCATGGCCGCATGACGTGTTGTCTCCGTCTTACACACATACGACATAGCAAATGTTCGTTGGCTAGTTTCAATAGGATATTGTCAGTTTTTGTATTAGAGTGAATCGGCCTATTATCAAACTTTTAGGTAAGAAACTAAGAGTCTAAGAACAGTATCTGTGTTCTCTCGTCGGTTTTTTACGATATTTTAATTTTTAAGTGAGTTATGTAAATTATTCATATTCTAAAATGTTCATAACTCACTTAAAAATTAAAATATCGTAAAAAAACAACGAGAGAACACAGATTATGTTGTTACCTACCTAAAAGTTTGATAATAGGTCGATTCACTGTAATATCAAAACTGACAATACCCTATTGAAACTAGCAAACGAAAATTTGGTATGTCGTACTTGTGTAAGAGTAAGACAGAGACAACACATCCGGGTGAGACGTCCTCTTAACAAACGAACACATTTTTCATCTACGCATACATGATACATAAGTGACTAGAAGTGTGTAAAGTGTATAGAAATTAACCCAACAATTTTATTATTCTAGTAATTAACATTTTATTTCATAATAAAGATGTTTTCTTGTCTTCAGATGTTTCTAAAAACGTGAAAATAATTTACCTAATAAGTAATAAGTACCTATACCATAAAACATGTTTTTATAAAAATCTAATTATTTTCAAATTTTAAAAATCTGAAGCCTGTAACTCAGTCAATTTTAGATTTAGGACCATTTTCAATATATACCCATATTATGCATATCTGAGGACAAAAATACGGGTTGCTATTCAAAAAAATGTAAGTTGATTGCGCTTGCCCGAACCAAAACACACCTAATAACTAGTTAATAGCTGGTCTATCCCCCTATCGTCTATGGTTGAAAATTTGAAATTTTCTCAAAATGTGTACTTCTGACCTATAAACTAATGAACAGTGCTTCCCACACCGCCCAGCCATTGGCAATTTAAGTTTTATGGATTTGATATGTACATCAATGTAATACAAAATAAAAATAATAATTCACCTATACAAATCAATTTGATGTATAAGGTTTAATATTTAATCATATTTTATAGGTCCATGGCTCAAAGGTGTTATATTTCAATTGTATCAAAGGATTCACAATAAAATGGGGTTGGTGGATGAATGCAATAATGTTGCCTGTTGGTGTATACATGTGTAGTAAAATAGATTTTGACAGCTCATAAAATTGACTATGGAAATAAACAACATGGTTGTAGATAACTCTAGATCTATAGTTAAAAAAGTATTTCAAATACCATTCAAATACTTCAAAATAAAAAGTATTTAAACAAGTATTCAATACGGAAAAAAGTATTTGAATACTTTTACTCAAATACTTCACAACACCTACTCTGGACTACCAGACCTTCACAAATTGGGGGCCGTGAAATATTTGGATATAGGTATTTATTTTATTTTAACTATTTTCTGAAAACCTTAGGCATATATCAAAAAAAAACTAATTTTTTTCAACCATCAAAATTAAATGGTCAGTTAGGCATTTAAGAATAATAAAATTATTATTATTACATTGAAGAAGTTTATCAAACTTTAGATTTTATCGACTTTATATTAATATAGGTACAGTTAAGAAAAAATAATTCACTATTAATTAAACAATTTTGATAAGTAATAACACGAATTGTACACTACCATAGGCTGAATTAGGTCCACCATATCCTTAGTTAACTTACTGTAGGAACTTTTTCTTCAACAAAGATATTTTTTTTAGATTACCTATTGGCTATTAGTAACTTTACGGAAAAAAAAATAATTAAAGAACTTTGGAGGGTGGAGTGGTCTCGAGTGTTATACATTTAAACAAGTTTGAGAAGCACTGAAACTGGTGTTGGATATACATCTGTGGATTTACTGCTGAAGCTGTAAAAGGGAATGTTGAATGTGTTAGGACAAATATGAAACGTGTAGCTTCTATTAATATTATTATTTTATAGTACATTTTGAATAAAGAATGAATATAATTTTATTATATCATATTTTGATAGTTAGATTTTAAAATGCAGATAACAGTCATCAAATTAAAAGACATATTATATTAAAATATATTTCTAATAACTAAAAAAAGTATTACACTGTGTTATTAACGTACCTCAATCACACATACATGTCAAATGAGATTGATAGTTAATTTAATAATAAACAAAACCATTACTTTTAAAAATAAAAATACTATATTGAAATTCTATAACTTAAATTAGTTTTAGGTGGCCAGTGATTTGGTCAATAACATCGGAGTTAGCTGGACCAATACCTATTACAGTAGATGTTCCTGCTTTGACTTGAGTTGCTCCAGCGTCATATATAATGCAAGAAAGCACTTTGTGGGATTTTGCAACCTTTGACAATTCTTGAAGACCTTTTTCACCACTGCCAATACTAACTACAATCTTTCTTTGTCCGGTCATTTGCCACATTTTTGCCATTTGAGGTTTATGTTGCATTGCCGCTTTATAACATTCAACAGAAGCATGGGAACACTGTGCCGCTATTTTACCTTTAGTCATTCCTAAATCATTTCTGACCACTAGTACTAGTTTATTGTTTACAGAAAGTGCATTTAATGGACCAGAGAGTAGTGGTCGAATGTTTCGATAACCGTATGAAACTCCTGTGCCAATCAGAAGACCAACAACAAATGGAGTAATGAATTCCTGGTTGGAAATATCAAACATTGTCCTTGTTTGCAAGTTTTTGATTTTTCTCAATACACAGTCTAAACTCTTTCAGTTCAGTTTGACACTTTCTCCAGTCTTTCGTTGTAGCTATGCAATCTTGGACTTTATAATGTAGGTGAGCACAGTTAGTTTTGTTTAGTAATTCATCTAGTAAATCAATGTCATCCTTTGCTTGACCGGAATCTCCCTTCGAGTGCATTTCAGTATTCAAACTTGACCTAAAAAAAATTTCATCATTAATGATTAAAGCTAATATTGTTATTTTACATAATACATGAACCATTTACCTATATAAAATATTTTACTTAATTATTTATTGATAAAAAATAGTATAAAAAGTACCTAATTTATTTATATACTCAATATTTATTCCAGATAATATGTTTAGTGTATACAGTATATAAGTATTAAGTACATAGTAATAGTATCATACGAAAAAAATAAGACATATTAAAACCCTAAATATATACAAAAAAATATTCTATTTTAGTGATCTAAATCAAAAATCCTACGTAGGCCAGTGGCGTATATAGTGACGTTCAATACATTGTGTGCATATAGCTTTATGTATATACTATATTACATAGCCATATCCCGTGGCATCGTGGCTTACACACATATAAAAATTAATTTTACATAATATTTATAAAATAAAATTGTGAAATCTTTATTTGTATTGTTCATGTCATAATTATAACTACCCGGCTCCCTAAAAAGTGTCTAGTTATGATTATTTTAGTGCTATCCTTATATGTTGTGGTAAATTGTACCATAGTAAAAATAATTCCTACATACACCACTGGTGTAAGCCATCCTATAACAACCTATTTGTTGAAAAACAAAGTTATAAACACTCCCCGAGTCTCATGGAATGTACTTGGGAAATTGGTGACAAGCAAGTATTAACCAACATACAATCATATTTATATCTAAAGATAGTTTATTTAAGTACCTAATTACAATTTATTTTGTACTTTAATATGAAAAAATAAATGGAAAACATTAAGACATATTATTCTTTTTAAAAAGTTTATCCAGCATTTTTTTATAGGGATAAAAGGTAATTATACAATATACGGATGTATAAATTCTATTAAATATATGAAATTAGTATAACATACAAATTACAAATAGGTAGACTTACTAAAAAATTTAATTCCAATTTCCAATCTTAAATAGATTCCATGTGCGGTAATTAGGTATTCTCATTCTGGTTATTTCTAAAATTAATAAAATTTGATTATTAATATTTAAGATGTAGGTACTATAAGCACAGAATAGATGACATTTTTAAAAAATACTTACCTACCAATTACCAAAACGTCCAAAACGGCAAAACGATAAGATGCTTTGATTACTGTTTTAAAATAATAAGTGATAACATTTTATTCTGATATTAAAATATTATGTTTTCCCTTATCACCAATTACCACCATGAATTATATACCACTGATACCACCGACCTTGGTTCATAATATATATCATGCAACATGTCTCTCGTATTTTATGTAGGTATACACTATACTTAATAGTTAATACGTATGAACCTTTGATTATAATATACCTACTTAAAAATTATAGTAGGTTTACTGTCCATCTATTTTAAATTAAATTCCTAACTCCTATGTATTTTTTAATTATCTTTTTCACAATCATTTAGAGACAAATAATTGTGCTTTTTGTTTGTAAAAAAGGAGCTTTTTTTCGCCATGAGAAACTTTTTATAAATCGTATAAAATAATTTTTTTACAAATATTTACCTACGACTTAAAAATCGTAAGT